CAGCGTCCGTAAGTGTTATTAAGAATTTAAATTATAGCTAGGATTAATAAAAATACATTATAACACTTTTATAACAAGAAACATTAAAAAATTGTGGTATGAATCCACACAATAACAAATACTTAAACTGTTATCTGCTGTGTTTTTCAAAATCTAATAATTAGCATTTTTTAGCGACCGACGATAAACAATATTTATTTTTATTTCTATTCTTGACCACAGAATAGTGACAAATTTTTATGTTCATAAAACTACGCGTGTTTTTAAATATTACTACTAAATATTACCACAGAATAAATAATAGATATTGGATTAAAATCAGTTAGTCGGCATCAAGTGGACGCTACTTTTTATCACTCGAAGAGTGGAGTTTTTTGGGTTTTTCCTAGTCCTACCTACCTAAGTCCGTCGGCTTTCGGTTTTGAGTTTAAATATTACTACTAAATATTACCACAGAATAAATAATAGATATGGGATTAAAATTAGTTAGTCGGCATCAAGTGGACGCTACTTTTTATCACTCGAAGAGTGGAGTTTTTTGGGTTTTTCCTAGTCCTACCTACCTAAGTCCGTCGGCTTTCGGTTTTGAGTTTAAAGAGCGCGCAAAACCGCGTATATTTACCTATTAATTTTGTTTGGTTTATTATATTCTAGCAATGAACAACAATATGAATTTATTTAAAAAATAATTATTACTACATATTATTTATCGGATCATATTATATCGAAAAATATTTCATATGAGACATACATAAGTACTAAATTCTTCCTTCAAATAGTTGACAATATGGAATTAATCACGATATTTTATGCTTGAAACAACCTTTTTTTTAAATATTTTCCTAGATCAATTTAGCAATAAAGTGGAAATTTATAACATAAGTATTCAAATACTATGTGTATTGGGGTTGAAATAATATCCATTTCATTATAATAACTATTATTTTTAAATTGAAATTTTCGGAGAATAATTGAGTCTAGATGGGTATAAACATTGAGTTATACAACACTAGAGGAGCAAACCACATTACCGCGCGTCGAAAAAAGTGTAACCACTATCCAAACGCGACGACGTAGCTTCGAAACTAATAACAACTTTAAATAAAAATATATCTATTTCAGTTACACAAGTTGCGAAAACAATATCCTCGCTATTTTCGTTCGCGAGATTAGATAAAGATAGACACATAAACATGCAATAGCGGGTTGGTGTGGCTTACTATATGAAATTTTACCTAAAATACGCAATAAAAATGAGTTTTTTTTAGCGCTGCAGTTAATTGTTTTTATATTGAAAAAGTATATTTTATTTTAAAATCTTTATTGCGTCCCCTTAGAAAAAAGGATAAAAAGCTTATTAGATGAATAAAAGTAAACATAATGATGAAATAAAATGTATTTTTATTGTACTAATAAATCAAACAATATAAAATAGCTAATAAAATTTAATTAATATAAAATTTATACGAAATTATAATTAATATAAAATTATTAATATAAAACGAGTAGGTAATAAAATATATTCAATAGGTTAATTCATGAATAAACTAAAATAAGAATAATTAATTATTTTGTATGAAAGTTAAAACGTAGTTTTTATTATAATTTCCAAAATATTTAAAATCAGAGGTAATAAATTAACTTACTTCATTAATTATATAGTCTCCCATTAATGTAGAATAATCACAAATGCGGAAAAGTGGCAACATTGAACCTAAATGGCAATATTCGATAATTTTATTTAATTATTTGAGGTTTTTTACGTTTATATGAAAACAAGAACTAAAAATTATGTGTTGAAAGTGATTCTGCTTGATTTATTACGTTTTTGTGACCTTGAATAGCATTATTTCACTATGCATTTACCAATTTTTTGTCGCGGCTCAACTCTGTCGGCGTCACATTGAACACTGAACTGACGTTAGCTATGTATATGGCTGTGGCCATATGTGCAGTGGTAACGCTTTGGCGCGGTTATTACTGATCTAGTGTAATATATAAATCAATGGGTATAAAGATTTACACAAAAACCTTGGAGAAGCACGCGCCGTTTAGCGGCTTGCTGTGAGTCGGCTGTGTCAGTGACCTCATAGCGGCCGTAGACTATTATTTATTCTGTGACGTAGATAATATTTTGTCGGCACATGTCGGTATGTTCAGAAGCAAATAATATTTTTAGAAATTTAATATTTCTTAAGTTATCTGATAAGAAACCCAAAAAACACATTTAAAGCAACCAAAAAAATTTTCATTAACATAATTGCCATGCCTATGTGTACATACTGTAGAACTTGTACCGAAATTTACGTTTAATTCTACAACTTCTTTTAAACCTTTGGATATCCATGTTAGTTCGGTAAATATGTTAGTTTTTACTCTTATTTTAGGTAAACACATTTTATAGAGTTATGTGAAAAGGCTAAAAAAATTCTTCAAACGCTGTATTTAAATCAGTCTGAGCATAAACTTCACAAAATGAAACGCATTTTAAATATTTTTTAAATCTTTCAATATTTCTACGGAATAATGTCGAATAAATGATTATATTGCTTTTGGTGTGATGTTCATGTTATTTTTTTCAGTAAACTTTAATACCTCTGCAGTATCATGATCTGACAGCCATAGTGAACGCGCAGATCCAATTGCTTCGTCAATGTTACTAATAATAAGATCAAGACACGATTTGCCTCTAGTTGATTGTTTTATATCAAAATGAAGGTTATATTTTTTCACAATTTCCTTAAGACATGTGATGCATTGACTGGATTCAAGTATATTAATATTCATGTCCCCAGTAATAATAATTTTCTTTTTATATATATAATAGACATTTATTAATTAGTGAGTCAAATTTATCAAAAAAATATTCTAAATGATTTTTTTCTTTTGACGGAATCCTATATATGCATACAATAATTAAATTATTATTAATAAGATATATTGCACAACACTAAAAGTTGTAAGTCATAGCAAGAGCATCGAAGTACTCTATTTTCTTATAATCAAGACCATTTTTTACTAATATGCAACTACCCCCTCTTTTGGATGATCTTGAAAATGATGTGGCTAACTCATAACTATTTATGGGTATATTTTTTTCTCCACCTGTTTTCACAAATGTTTCAGTGAAACATAGTACGTCGGGACTACTATGGTTTTTTATCTCCAAAAGGGTCATTTCTGTTAGTTCTCTTTTGGAGAGCAATTCATGTATATTTTGATGAAAAAATCTGTATCAGCTGTCGTAGGTGATATAATATTCTTCAAGGGAATTCCTTTTTCATCACAATACTTTTCCAGTGTTTTAAATATGTTTTCTCCTTTTGTGTCCGTCTCTAAATTTCTAGCAAATAACAGTTCTTGGCATATTTTTTCATCTTTAATAGACTTCACGTAAGACAGCAACAATGCTTCATTGGTTGGTAAAGTGGACTCATCCAACTGAATTGAAAATTGACTAGTCTTCAGATGATTGCACAATGACTCTTCAATGTTTTCAGCCATTTCATCAATTCGTCTTTGCACAGAACTATTGCTCAAAGGAATTTTTCGAATTATGTCTGCCGCCGATTTATGGAGCACAGTAGTTATAACTTCTTTTATTGCCAGCAAAATTGACGTATCTCCGATTGTGTGTGGTTTACCTGTTTGAGCAATTAACAAAGACATATTGTAGGAATCTCTAAGTTCGTCATCGTCTTGCTTAGCAGCGACCGAAAAAATTTGAAACTCTTAGCTGAGCATTATGCTTCTTTTCCAGGTATTGTAAATAGGCTACATTTTTGTCCTTCTTATCTGGATGCATTTTATTCAAATGATCTTGAAGTCTTAATAGTGGTTCATCGCTTCGTTTGAAAATGTTTTTGAACGAAGAAGGCACAAAGGCAAAGATAGATTTGTCGAATGTTCTATGAATCCATATTTAATATATTCTGCACTATACGAGTATTGCCATTTCTTCTTTATTGCTTCAGACATGGCTTCGTTTTTACAAATATGTAAATAAAGTGTTGAACTTAAATACTTGTTTAAAGATTTCGCGCGAAACCACTAATGAAAATATATAAATTATTACGAGCTTTTATATAGGATTTAAGTACAGCACGCATCGACAGGAATAAGACAAACACGTACGAACTCGTTTATCTCTTTCGACGCTCAATCCTACTGAGCAAGTTAAGACAAGTATCAACGAACCAGCCGATTACTACTAAATTGCACAAATAGCGTTGTTTAACAACAACTTGTTACAAATTGATTGCGTACGGTGTACGGGCTATCCTACGAAATCTAAGTTAAGTATTTCTAGTTTATATACCATCATACGGGGCAGAAATATAAACTAATTATTCGACAATGAGTAGTAGGTAGGTTTTAATAGTAAAATATAAAGTATCTAAATGAAATTACAAATCAACCATCGCTACCCTAAACCACACCAACGCCCCTCACTTTTCTGGGCTCCTTAAAACCCCTCTAGGTCTCCAACGCCCACATGGGGGCATTATCGCTCACTTTGAGAAAAACTGGTGTAAATCATTCTAGCCATTTCAGAGATTAGCCGGAACAAACAGACCGATATACATACATTTTAAAAATTGTCCCTTTTGTTATAATTACCGTATATTCATTCATAAGTATTTATCAAAATCTGTTTATATATATATATATATATATATATATACATACAAATATATTGACATAAAAACATACACTTCAATTTTATTTATTTCTATGGATTAGGAAGACGCCCGTCTCCATATTTGTTTCCTCTTACAACACCCACGGTATGATATGAGGTAGTGGATATTTTACACCGCCTCTACACGGAACATATGATTATAAATGATAATTTCCAATCACTTGACACTGGCAAAAATACAGGTGTCCGAGGCCATTATCAAAGATTTTAGGTGCGTAAGTGTGCGTCAGTGTGTGTTATTGCATTAAATTGAGTATGGTTCCAAGTCACTTGTTATCTACGAAGACCAAATCATCACCTGATAAGTGGTGCAGAGCTGTTTGGCCTCGTTGTATGGCAGATTCTCCAAGTCTGAAGGCACCGATTTGTTAAGCACGCCCGGTTCTGTTTCCTGGAAGGTAATATATTAGAGTATAATAGATGTAGCTACATATGTTGCACTTATTTATTTATTCATTCATAGGACATCAGCAGTGCACACATTTTTACATTTTTATTGAAAATAGGCTTAATCTTGGGACTGATGTGTGCAACCTTATAGGTGGACACTGCATTCCAAAATACTATAAAAATTATCAAGACAGCAAAGTTACAATAGAAACATATTTTTGAATTCAACGTGATATGGTCTGCCTTACATTATTCCAATAGTCGGTTAAGATCGTCTTGTAGGTGTAATGAGTACAAATGACTTGATATGACTCTCGAGAGCTTCAAGTTGTCTGTAAACAAGGAAACGTGGCTACTACTATATACTCGTGAAATCATTTATAAAGAGCAAGAACAATATTGGTCCCAGATGGGAACCTTGAGGTACACCAAATTCTGCGTAGTATGTTTGCTATTCATAAACCCCTACCGCCACTAACTGTGTACTTGCCTTCTCTTATCTGTCAGAGAGGATTTTTGGAACAATAACGAGTCCGCCGCGCAGCTCCAATACGTGCTTACCCTTTGTTGCTACAATCACTTCATCATAAAACAAATCATCATTTCACGGTCCTGAGCCACCTGCATCAATCGACTTCCCGTATTTAATACCAGGTAGTCATTCCATCTAGTGGGGGGCTGTCGCACACTTCTAGCGACCACTAATACGGGAACCTTTTCCTTCGTCGGTTTATCGAGCTATATGATCAGTAAATAGCCACTTTAGAAAACAAGCTTGTACATTAAAACAGTAATTAAAAATATCAGACTGCGTTAAGAAGTTTACTGAAAAGAGAAAAACTTTATTACCTATCCAAGTATTAAGACGAATCTAACGCCACCTCATATGTTAAAATCCATCAAGCCATTTAGGCTGCAGAGCGCCAAAGGACAAGACATACTATTCTGTCAAGAAAGTACCGTGTAAATATCAATCATACACAACATTTTAGTTATTCATCCCAGTTTATTTTATCACCTTCAAAGTATGCTCCTTCAGATACTATAAACTTTCTTCAACGAATAATTCAATCATCAAAACATTTTTAAACGCTTTTTCCGGAGTTGAGTTTAGTTCTCGCCGAAAATTCTCCTTTATGTCTTTTACCAAAGGAAAACGGGTGCCACGAAGTGGTAATTTGAGTTTAGGAAAAAAGGAAAGAAGTCGATTGGAATTATATTTGGTTAATAAGGCTCAACGGTATTTGTTGAGTTTTTGGTCAAAATTTCAGGTATTTTAGGACTAGCCAAGTGGCAACATGTTTCATACCCAAGGATAATTTAAAATGGTACGGATCGACTCGTGAGACACAGAAAGTTTGGCGGCTATCTCATCTTCCATCACATCTCGACCACTTTTGAATGCTTTGTACCACTCCTAAGCACGTGTTTTTGATAAAGTCGATTCACACTGTAAGCCTTATGTAACATTTTCAGTGACTCCGAACACGAAATTCCATTAGCGATGTAAACTTTAAGACAAACTCTTCATTCGATGTTTTAGCCCATTATGAAATTGGCAATATACATTAGATATAACTGAAAACAGCACTCTATTTAATCTATATAGCAGATGTAATTCAAACTCTGCGCCAAAATGGAAAACAGTTGTGCCAAATTAACAACAACAAAAAAAAATACAAAAAACTTAATTTGGAACCATAAACAAATCATCCATTCCCGATACCTTTTTGACTTAATGTACATCTCTTCTGGGGCTCTCGAGAGAGAACATTACGCTCCTTCTGGGACTTTCAAGTATAGACATTACGCTCCTTCTGGGGCACTCGGGTAAAACCATTACCCTCCTTCTGGCGTACTCGGGTAAAACCATTACCTTCCTTCTGGGGCAGTCGGGTATAATCTTGCAAAATAAAAAAATAGAAACTTATCAAAAAATTCTGAAAATAAATACTTACATAAGGCAAGAGTGGGAGTCTGGTGACCAAGTACTGCCACCTCGCAAACATGCTCTGCTTGCACAGCAGCGACGGCTGACCACTCATCAGCTTGCCCGTGGTCGTATTCACTATCTCTGGCACCTGGTCATAGATCGTTAGGGCCACATCTCCTTATTAATTCATTACACTCTACAACTGAACAAAGGCTAGTTGACTTTCAATCACTTTATGTACAACTAGTTGAGCTGATGTTGTTTAAACTCAAACTCAAACATTTTATTGCGTTCATGTGGTTACATAAATAGTTCTTAAGTTGGATATATTAGAGCCAAACATGAGCCCTGATAGGGCGTAGCAATCTTTTGATTTGAGACTTTCCTATGGATTGCATCATAGTCCCATATTTGTCATTGTTGCCACGCTTGGTAGACTTTTAAGCAGTTGTATTTGTTTATTATTACTTTCTACCCATCTTCCGTTTGAGTTTTGCTCTGTTGCCTCTTACGACATCCACAAGATGAAACTATGCAAATTTTATCACGTCATCTCTCTACGCGGTACTCATCTTCAGTTACGTGATGTAATAAATGTCAGATTACCAAGTCCAAATTCTCCCAGAATTAATTACTTACATCACTATAGCCGAAAAAAATCTACTGTTGTACATTGGCCTATCCCATAAATTGCCTCATAGAGGGGAAATTGTCAGTTATTTTGCTTGGTAGGTGGGTTGGCGGGGTTATACGTGGTAGAGCAACGCTGCAGCTATTATGGTTGTAGGTTCGACCAGGGAAGGACCACGCTCTCATCTCTGGCTTAAAATACCGGCGTAAAACAGCAGTTTAATACTGCTGTGTTTCATATAATGAGTGTAAAGATACGGAGACCCTTTTTTACTGGAAACGAGGCATTCCATCTTAGTTCTCAGAGGTGACAACGTATCTGCGTTTTGATTCTTTATCGAGGATAGGTGTAATTACTTATGGGCCACAGCATCAACTTGCCACCAAGCGGACTGTGTGATCGTTTTCCACCCTTATTCTTTAAAAAAATACATGGTTGATACCTCTGGAAGTTAGGTGATCTCTTCCAAGCCGTTTATTAAGTGTAAGTAGTAGTACAACCTGTGTTATTTATTGTATAATGTTACTTTAGAAAGTCTTGCTGGGTTTCATACTGGATCTTATCAGGACAAAGGTTTTGTCGAACTAGCGGTACAAGTAAAAAATTCAGTAAGAGTTATTTATTACATATTCAACACGTCTCCACCTGATGGAAAGTGGATGTTGTGGCCTAAACATCTATCCTCAATTGAGAATTAAAATGCAGATGCGTTGTTATCCCTGACGACTAAGATGGAATTCCTCGTTTCTAGTAAAAAGAGATTCGGTCCTTTACACTTACCATACTTAATACACTATGCTGTTATTTTAGGCTGGTCCCACCCCGGTCGAGCCGACTCATTCGTACTACAACCATAATATACCTGCAACATGACTCTACTATGTGTAAAACATCTGTATATCTGTACATAAATCATCTTCGGTTTGAATATTTACAGTTCTTAATATCCCTACGATCTTCCCGTATTACATTCCTCGCCTCTTACTACGCCAGGAATGAGATAGCTGAAATAGATTTTGTTGCATCACCTCCGCAAAGATATCGAGCTTATAAATTTTGCAAAGCTGCTATCGTTGTGTTTAGTTAGCCATCAATAGTCTATGAAGATAGCCTAGCGATGCATGTAAATAATGATAAGTTCTGTCTAAGCTTATTTGTGCACATAATATCAAAGACATAAAGTGCTGTGGATGTGACAATGGGCGTCCCATTTATAGACAAAATGCAGAGTATATTATTCACTACAGTAAAATATAACGCTAAAAGTGACGCACGTACCGTCGCCGTATTATCAGAGATTAGACTGTCATAACCTAGAGCTGTATGTCCTCTTGTTAAGACCTACCTATTTATTGTCATAGTATAAGGCAAAGAGCTGTCTCTTTAGTGTGGTGGTCGTAAGCGCAACTGTTTAACACGTGGTCCCGGGTTTGAATCCAGTTTTCTATCAAAAAATGTTTAATAGCAGCCCGAAGTCAGGAAGATAGCGGTGTTTCACCCTCGTGAAGTAAAGCTATTAGTTCTGTACCTGATCCCTCTCCGGGCGTATATCGGAGGACATTATTATATACCTGATTCATTCATTCGTAGCAGAAATTAATTGTATTCTGTGAATCGTGGTCTATCTGTGGTTTGTGTACATTTACGACAAGTTACATTTACAATTTGTTTATGTTTCTTTGCAATTTTATTATACTGCATAGTGTGTGTAGGCATTTAGTACTTACTACATATACCTTATAAATCATCTATATCTGCGTAAGGTAAATGCCAGTTTTTACGATGAGTACTATATTCATTCAAATAAAATCATTTTATGCCTTTTAGAATGGAGGATAAAGATTATAGACGAGGAAAAAAAAGTTTATTGCGTTTATCAACAAAATGAAAAAAAGCAAATTTACTTCGTAAATCGTAAGAGATGGATAACGCTAACTTCTAAAATCAACAGGTAAGTACGCGTACTTGTTTTGATCGCGTACCTTACCACCAAACATTTTATTGCACATAGATATCATACGTACTCTTATTTATTCTGTGATCATAGGTAATTTGATTGCAATGTGATTGACCGAAATTCATTCCAACAAAATACAAAATTATGGAGAGTCTGATGCTGATTTTAAAGACATGAAAAGGATTAGGTTATATGTTCGGCAGTATATTTTTTCATTTATTTTTTAATGTATATTCACTGATTTCTCTATCAATTGTGGACGGATTTTGAATACCTATTCTTTTTTTCTTCGTTAATGTATGTCTCACACTTGGCCCCATATCAATGTAATGGAAATCATTTCAACCATAACAAATGTTGTAATTAGATTTATTGAAGTCGGTTGTACAAAAATTTTCAATTTTACCACTTGTCTAATAATAATATTGTTCCGGTAGAAAAAGTTGTTCGTATTGTTGCGCGCCTAAGTTGACGTCAGATACCTAGAACTAGCGCCATCTAGTGTCGGGGACCAGAGCGAGGAGGGCTTCCTAGAAAATGGCAATCTTGACTTTCGACCAACAGCTCCACACTCGAACTTTCTGCGCCTGGTCGGTCGGCGCGCGTGTTTACTTGAATATTCTGGATGTTTCGGTGAAAAAGGTGTATTTAAAGGCGCTGCAAGACGCGATCGGGCAGTATTGAATTTGGCGAGACAAACGATACTTCGGAGCGAAATAAAGCGAGTCAGTGTGATTATTAGTGTCTTTTAAGTAAAGTCAGGCCTCTATCACTCTTGCTACCTACATGAAATAATTACGTAAAATCGCGACGCGCCCGGGCGAAATAACGCAGTCAGGACTAGCGCGTTGGAGGCGATTGGATGTTAAAGTTTTTTAACGCTGTTTACGTATATAACTTTTTATAAATATTGTTGAAATAGTTTTTGTTTAGTGTTTGGTATATTTAATTATAGGATAAAATAGTTCAAAAGTTTTAATGTATTTTAAGAACTATTTATAGTATGTATATTACCCATTATTTAATAAATTTTAATATGGCAAAACGTCGTTCCTACTATAATTGTTGCGTGGATAGACGCTAAATGACCAACAAAATATTTCAGATATATTATTCTTTATTAATGAAGGATTTTAGTAGGAAGTTATGAAACGTGAATTTATTTAATTTTTATTGTTAGATAGGTACTTATAGCAAAAAATAATTAAGTAATAATTTATTTAATATCTACGAACTTTATTACAAAATTTAGTAGAAATTTACTTCACTATCCAAGTATCTACTTACGTACATATACTTGCCTTTTGTATTAAAATATTTTAAGCTGCTATTTCAGCTTAAAATGTTTTAAGCTAAAATAACAGAAAACACTGAAATCAAAACTTTAATTACCAACAAAATTTTTGATTTGATCGGTAAATAGAAGTGTGCATAAATCGTGGATAAATGAGCATATATTAATACATATTATTATTATATATTAAACTTGCATGTGTTTTTAATATATATTTTAATATATTCTTGACAGCCCTAAGTAACCACGGAAAAACAGCCGTGATGTGGCAATGGAAAAAGATGCAAAGTAATACGGACACTCGCGCGCAGCGATAAAGTTTTATTTAGTTTGCGTGCGAAATTTATCTTATTAATAATAATTAATATGTAAGCTATTAAACGTCGGCAAGCAGTCAACATCAAAAGTGTGAAGCTTCTGTACGTAGTACTATTATTTATTCTGTGGTAAAGTGATTAAAGTGTTAATTTTGGTAATTTAATCGGCAGTTTTTATTGTCACGAACCCTAAGCTCGTAACAATTGGTGTCAGAAGTGGGATTAAATCATGCCGATTTTACCTAAGGAGGAAACGGAGAGTGTCCGTACCCGTAGTCAACGCCAGCAGGAGACGGACCAAAAAAGATTTGGTGGTGTAACGCCACAGACGTCGGGGGGCCAGCCACCGGCTGCAGGCCCGTCAGTAGCTCCTACATCTGCAGCACCTGAATTAGGTGCTCTGATGGTGATGCTGCAAGAGCAGGCTCGCCGACAGGAGGAGCAGGCATGTTGGTTGAAAAAGCAGCAAGAGGAAGAGGCCCGCCGACAGGAGGAACAGGCCCGTCGGTTGGAAGAGCAGCTCAAACGCGATAAGGAAGAGCAGATGCTCCTCATGAAGGACATTCACGCAATCTTCGAGAAAGAGATAAGGGAGGTGAAGGATAAGGTTGCTCAACATGACAACCGCCTGTCGGAAGCTGAAACCCGAATCGACCAAGTGAACAATCGGGTTGACAACGTAATGGCTGAGATGAAGAAATCACTGGACGAACTCAAACTTGGGGATGGAACCACAGCTCCCGTAGTAGCTACTACACCTTCGCTACGAGGGTTCAAGGTGCCACCGTTCGACGGGACTTCTACCTGGTCAGCCTACAAAATCCAGTTCGAGGCTGTTATGAAGGCGAACGGCTGGAATAAAACCCAGGCCATGACTGCTCTCACACTAGGCCTGCGCGACAAGGCCTTAACAGTTCTGGAAGCTCTCGGTGAGGAAGTGACATATGAG